ATGAGAGCTACACATCATGGATGTGCAGCTAACAAATCCGCAGCAACTGCGTGGCGCTATTTTTTTCAATATGGACCAACATCTCTGAGTAATGTTTCCAGCACCTTTGTTGAAGAATTAAGGCAGTCCACTTCAGCAACATGTACCTAATAAAGTGGCTGGTGAGTGTATGTAAATGGGGAAAAAAAATCTGTGATCTGTTATTAATCCTGTAACATCAAGTTTATCATATTTGATACCCAAATTTTCAAGGGGTTTCAAGGCTTCTACATCAGTGTGATCTAGAAAAACGTTGGCCGTAGCAAATTCAAACTCCTATTTTTGTCAGAAGGTTCAATAAACACGTTTTCTCCGAGGAAGCCTTGAATGAAAATGTAACTATATGAAGCAATAGAAGCAAATATACCTACAACACCTTGTTGAACCTTTTGTGTACCTTTTTAACCTCAGAAAAACTGAGTTGTCTGATGATGTAATGAAGAGAAGCTTTCAGTGGGCTGCCGCCAAACAAACATGTTCAGCTTTAATTAAATGGTTGAACAGAGCGTGCTCAGTCTTACGGCTGGTCTGTTTCTACTCTTATATATTTATATTTTCCTATGTCTGTGCTCGTCTCTCTTCCACGCTGTTATTTTTGAGTCTCCAGCTTTCTCCCCACAGATCCTCAGCATCTGCTGGACTAGAATAAATTCACTCTTTACTTAAGAAATACTTCATATCCCAAGCGTGTGCATCTGTTGTGTGTCAGCTGGCTGTGTTTGGGTTTTTATTGGGGGGGAAAAAAAAACAAAAAACACGAGTCTGGGGTAAATGGGCTTTTATAGTAGATATCCATGTTTTGAGCAGAAATCTCAAACATTAATCACACTTGTCACCAAACTGGAGCATTACATTCGGAATATTTGGGATAATGATCATTTTATTATTACTATTATCATCATTTTACAAATTGCATGTTCTCCCTATGGCTGCATGGATCACTTTAGACAATCGAGCTCTCCACACAGTCCAAAGACATGCATGTTAGGTTAACTAGGGTTGGATGATGTTGATCATGTTAGCTCTGTGATGAGTGGGCAGCCTGTCTAACGTAGACCTGTGTTCTCAGGTGGGATTGGCTCAAGCCACCTGTGACCTTGAATTCGATAAGCAGGTAAGAAAATGAATGGATTTACATGAAATATACCAACATAGAAAAAGTAAAACTGGATGCAGAACGTTTAGCTTTCAGGCCCCGTCTGTAGCTCTGCTTTTAAGATTAGCCATAAAAATGTCCTTTTTGATAAAGCATCTAGTTTACAACCCTTAGCTCCACTGCAATAGGCTTAGGCTGCTGAGGGTTTCCCATGATGCACTCGTTTGCTCTCTGTGTGTTCACACGCCACTGTGCGCTTAATTGTGTTTTTGTCTTGTCCTGTCTTCCTAGCTTCACCCTCAACTGGTTGCAGCAGACGGCTGCTCCTCTCTGGGCCTGATTCTGCCGGAGGTTTCTTCCAGTTAAACGGGGTTTTTCCTTCCCACTGTTGCCAAGTGCTTGCTCTAAGAGGATAGTTTGATTTTCAGGGTTTTTTTTTAGTGCCCTGAGGCAGCTGTTGTTGTTGTATAGTTTGGTGCTATATAATGAACAGCTATATGATGAATAGCCAGCATAAATACCACACGCAGGTGAACTAAGCCATAGAATCAGAGTAGCTGTTGCTACCAGTGTTATTCAGTATATTATCTCAGTATAATATTATTGCCCAATGTATTAGTTTTTTTTGTTTTGTTTTGTTTTTTAAACATGAAAGAAATGAAAATGAACAGTTTTTAGAGCATCTGTGCAGCATTATTTATTCATTGTATCCTTGGAAACAAGGATGAACATGGCTGTAATGCAGATTCATTCACTTAGAATTTCAGAACTGCATTTCGCAAATCATCTGACAAAATTTTCGTTATGTGTTATTCTGTTTATACCTGTAATTTTAAGAGATTTAGTTCGGCCAAGGCATCTACAACTATATTTATATTTATAAGGCATTTGGAGTTTGTTAAAGGGAAAGCTTTAAATCTCCTGACATATCCTTCAAGCAACATTTGAGAATAATTTTAGGGCTGCAAGAAATGAGTCACTTCGATTTTGATAAAGCTATTCCATATTTGTGACAAATAAGTGAATTACTCACTTCAAATGTCAGAAAAACACCAATCGCACATCCCAGCTCTCAAGATGACATCTTGATCCAGAAGCAATTACCATATTTTAAAAGCTGGAACAAGAATTTGTTTGTTTTTTTTCTTGATGAATGACAAATGATCAATTAGGACTGTCATATATTCAGTAGATACATCAATGGAGAATTAAAAAAAAAAAAAAAAGTCCCAGCAATATCAAATAGATGAAATTGCAGCTTCTCTTCAGCCTGTTGCTATCAGTCCCTCAGCGTTAATTGTGAGTCTTCACACTCCAAAACCTCGGGTGGGTAGTGCTGTTATTATCAGAGGAGTGATAGAAGTTTAAAAAAAGAGCATGCCTCTGGGTTATGAAACTGCGATATGCTCAAGAGCTGCTGGGAAAAGTATTAACAAGAATTCGGATGTCAAGCAGCAGAGACACTGAGATCTGCCGCTTACAGAGAGAGACAAACGCTTTACTCTCACACGTTGTCGAGTAGAGAAAGTCATGAAATGAAACCTTTAGCAGGGGCACTAAGATACCAGAAGAGACAAGTGTATGGTACAACTTTGGAGGCAGAAAGCAAAGTGGAGATGAATCCTTAATGAATCATCTGCCAGCTCCGTGGTTTGATGCCGGCTGTCTTTGAATGAGCCATCTGTTGGGTAAGAGGGAGTTTCTAAGTTGTTGTAAAGGGCAAAGAAACTAGCTGGACAAAAAAAATAGTTTGACTAATGCTTAAGATTGAACAGAAAGAGTGGTAGCGTTTTTAAAAACAGGATTTTTGTTCACCTGGGACTGAGGCGAGTAGTGCACTGATGGAAGGCACGAAGGTTTAGGAGGAAAGTGGAGTTCGCTTCGGGGCAGAGCTGCAATTTTTCATTATTTGGTGACGTTAGTGTCCGAGGGGAGTCTAATGATGCGTTCAACGGGCAAGAAAGAAGGCAGTAAAGTATGAAATTAAGTTTTGCCTGCTTTTGTATCCATTTCTTTGATGTTCACTGGTGAACCAGGGGTTTTACCCTTATTCGTTTTTGTTTTTGCTGATGTTTTCCAGGAGGCGGTGTATTATTTTGTTTCTCCTGGGTTTTATTTATTTTATTTATTTATTTAAGCTTTTTTTTTTTGTTATTTTTTTGTTTTTTGTTTTTTTTTGTTTGTTAGTGTGTTGTTTGTTTGCTTGTCTTAGTTTGTTTGTTTGTTTAGAAACGGACAGAGAACTGACAGTATGATTATTGCAGTTGTATATCTATTTATTAATGTTTCTGTCCATCCAAAAATATTAATAAAAAAAAAAATAAAAAAAAAGGAAAGGGGGAAAAATCATTTTATTGCCTGTGGGAGAGCATCAGGGAATTGGGGCTCTGAGGACTCAGATGGGGAACATTTTCTAGGATCGTTGCCTTAGATAAATAATCTATAGTCATAAAAATAATCTAATGCTCAAAAGGTATCTTTAGGCAAATTTCTAAAGTCAGAAGTTCTTAAAAAAGACTGACTCCCATGACTATTGGCTCAGGGCATGTTGATTACTCTGAGGTTTTCTCATTAATCTGTTTGTAACGCTGCAAGAGAAAACGTTTTCCAACGATCTGGAAAAATATTTGTGCATTTTCTCTCAGCAGGCTTTTGAAATGAATAGTATCTGAATCTCCCTGGGCCAGCTCTTCTGTAGATGTTAGCTGCCTTTTTTTCTTTTCCCACACTGCTTCAATAATGCTGAGGACGTGAATCCGCTGTGTTCTCTATCCAGTTATGCTTTTACTGCACTAGCAGTGTGTTTGGGGTCATTTTCATGCCAAAAAATTGATTTTATTTGATGGTGCATTAGAATCTGGTGTTTTAATTCCATCAATATTTACAGTGGCTAAAAAGCAGACCCGAGTCACGACAGAGCCTTAACTGTGTTTTACAGATAGCTGCAGACACTTACTCTCCTGACCACCTCTGTACATATTGATAAGCATTTGAACCAAAAACTTCCTGTTGCCACTGATTCTCAGTCCAGATCTTTTGTAATTTGGCACCTTGGCCACTGACTCTGTGGACAAAGAGACAAACACAGTGGACTCGGTTCAGTGGGGAACAAATGATGAGAGCTCAGCAGGTATGTGGGTTTTAGAGCAGTCAGGAGGAAAAAGGTTTTAGGAATTCATCTAAATTTAGAAACTAATTTATAGTTCAGCAACTGTAACCTCAATTTGTCTGATACTTCTAGTCAAATAGTTGTTTCTGCCTTTATATATTACCTTCATCACATTCATATTCGGTAAATACTGAAAGGCCTCCTGTGTAAAGGTTTAAAGAGCATTTGTCCTGCTGTAATGATATTATAATTTTAACAAAATGTATTAATTAAAAAGGTTGGCCTTGATTCTGAACAGGAAATTGCGATTTTTCTGCAAATGAAAACAAACATGAGTCAGGAGTAACTCTGAAAAACTCTCCTGACTTGAGCTGCAGTTGCTTCACTCAACTAAAATCTGGCCTCAGGATCCTCATCTGTGCTCAACAGTTCACACTCACTGTTATTGCTACATCGCTGCGTCGCAGATGTGGCGTCTCACAGATGTTTTCAGATTTTGGAACTCTTTATAAAAAGGGAGATGCACTTTCCTTATTTTTTCCCCCCCATGTAGTCTCAGTATTTTCCAGCAAATGCAGAAAGTTGTAGCTGAGATAAATGTCATTTAGAGAGACTAAACAAAATGCAAGACAGAAGTGAAACTTGAACAGAGGAAATGGTCTCCACCTCGCGTTTCAAGTGTCAGTTCACTAAAATCTGAAATAATCAGACTGTAAAATCGTCTAACCAAAATGAGGACTGGAAAAAAAGGGAACGAGGTTTGCAGTTTTTTTCATGATCTTTGTTTATTTGCAAGAGCTAATTAAGTGAAAAAGTGGTTTAAAAATAGCCATCCAAATCTGGATGTGGTCCTGAGTCAGTGCCAACCTTTAGACATCTATGGAGAAAGCTTTCAACTGTTTCAGTCGTCCATCTCGAGAGCTATCGGTGGCCCGTGGTACTCATGTGCTGGGCTCTAAGTGCTTAAAAGCAGGGGTCCTGCTGCTCAGTACCAGGGTTAAAGCAAGGCCAAAAGACAGACTCTAAACACTAGATTGTTGGTCACGTTTGCACTGAGAAGTAAACAAAATGCCACTTTTACAGCATCAACACAGTTAATGAAAACATAATTCACGTTTTGTAGTTCTGGCCCAGCCATCCGAGGTACAAACATTTATCACCTTATAAAAACTGCAGTACAAATATGTTGTGTAATCGAATCCGACAGTCATCTGCTTTAATTTGTTCCTAAATGAGAGCAGTCACCGCCAACAGCTGTGAATTCATTCCAGCAATTTTTCTGTAATTTAAAGGCAAAGATCAGTTTGATTCTCATGAAACAAGTTCCACATTTCCATCAGTTTGTTTTCCTTCTAAATTGTTTCTTTAACCATATTCCAGTTTGATCATAAAAAGGCGATTGATCCTTTTTACTGAGACACATCAGTTTGTGGAGCAGTGCCTCAGTAATTTATAACATGGCTCTATCATCTTACTCGTCCCAGGCGATCCTTCACTTTGTTCATGGTGTTGGGCTCCCACCCTGTCGATTCGGGTCCACCCAGTCCCAGACGTGGACTGAGCCATCCGAGGCTGCAGACAGAAGCGTCCGCGGCCGCTCGGGGTGCCAGATGTGGGAGGTGACGAAGGTGGGAACACTGTCATCAGTCTGCTGTGATGAAACTGCGTGACCGCGATGCTCAAACAGCGGTCGAGCCTCCTGCGGCTCCGCCCCCCAGAGACGGGTGTTGTAGATCTGAACAACGCCACTGAAACCTGATGAGGACGAAGGCAGAAACTTTAAAAGGCTTCTTTCTGACCCACATTTATATTCGTTAGGATAATATTGTGCTAAAATTTCAAATCATTCAACAACTATGAAGTCAAGAAACTGATAACTAACTTATCCACTTACTTTGAAATGGTAGCATTAGTCTGTTAACAAACTAAACTTTCATTTCTGCAGACACCCACATGTTGACTGTAGACTTTAAGCCCCTTGATCATCTTGTCTTTTTGCCTTTTTGTGACAAATTACTATACTTACATCTGATTGCTATAAACAGAGTTGATAATTACAATTAGCACACAAATGAAGGCCTCTACTGCAGTCGCTTACCTAATGAAATGTTTTTCTATTGGTAATCATATAGTCTGCAAGACTGTGCTGCACGTCAGATTCACAGATTTAATTTGTATTTTTAAAGAGAGCTGTAAACCAATATTCATGTCACTGGCTCTCATGCAGGATCAGAAATGCTAAAAAGGCCCATAATTAATTTGTTATAAGACTGAGGTCACTGTGGCAACGTCTCCAAAAGTATGAAAACAAGACCTTCACAAGCAGAAGCCTTTACAAAAGAGTGATGACAGATTTCTCATTCTCTCGTTGATGCTCAGTGATGAAAACATTTCACGGCGCTTTGCTGCTGGAAGAATTCAATAACGCTACCCTGATTGAAATTTATGAGTAATTAAATCTGCCAGTACATCCTTTCAATCTTTGGATGTTTCTGTTAGTAATTTCAGAGGCCATGTTTGTAAAACACTTCACTTCCTCCGTGTCTTCTTTTATATGACTGTTCAAATCATTTCAACCAGTCAGCATCTAACCTGCGCACATGCACCTCCATAATCCTACACAGAACCGTAACTCAATCCTGAGTCATGCTGGGGGCTCCACTGTGACGTGATGCAAATAATGAGGTCTGAGTTTTCCTCGCTGCACTGTACAGAGAGGAAAGCTCAGAACTCTACATTGCAGAGACTGAACAGCCACTTCATAAACGCATGGCGCAGCATAGAAGAGCCACCTCCACGGGCAAGACTCGGCGGTCCATCTGCATCTAAAGGTCACTCTTTCGAGGACGCCAATCTTCACATTTTGGACAGAGAAGACTGATGGTTTGAAAGGAGTGAACGAAGCCATTTATGTCCTCTGTGAGTGACCATCTTTGAACAGAGGCGGGGGTTTACGACACAGTCTTCCATCTATAATCCAGTTTTGAGATCCCTGCCCAGACGCCTTAACGCCCACTCACGTCCTGGGCCATTTAACCATTTGAAATCACATGATTTCACATGGCCAAGGTATCACTATGGGTCCACCCGAAACCTTGGCTGATTGTGACCCACACCCATTTTCACACCTTGGCTAAAGTGATTAGATAGAGGATCAATAGGGGGTCCGTTACCCTCTTGCGGACACTCCCATAAGACTTAAAATCTGGGACTCTCCACCATTTGTGCTTAGAACTGAAGAAGCTTCTCAGATGTGAGGTGAAACGTCTTCAAGAAAACTTAAAGAAGTCCACACGCTTCACTTTCCAAGCTCCTTAGACTACGATGACCTAGATGACTGAGAACCGTAACAGACAATTTTAAAAATCTTTATCCAAACATTAAATGAGCAATTCACAAGGCAGATCTCATTGAAATCGAACTTCCTCATATCAGACAATGTTTACATTAGCAGCAACAGTCTAGAAATAGATGCTGCTTTGGCTGTTTCTTTCTTAAATGAGGTAAGGCTATGTTATCCTACACAACACATTGTGACACATGTTGGTTATTTTCTGTTCTTTGAAGCATGACACTTTTTTTCCCCCCCTATTATTTTCTGCACGAGCCAGTGTACACGCCTGGTTTATTTCCACCCATCACTATAGTACTTTTAATATTACAAAGGCCAACTAGTGGCCTTGAAAGGCTACGGTGATTCATTTTCCCCACAAGTGAGGCTGAAAATGTCAAGTTTGTCCTGAAGGTGGCATTACAGTAAAGGTCACACGGTCTCTTTAATATCAAAAAGGTTCCTTCTCTACGAATACTTGCAGAAAAATCAGCCAAAGCTGTTCATCAAAAGAAAAAGGGAAAAAAAAAAAAGTACAAAATTAGAGTTTTCTTCATCTTTTGTTTTAAGTTAGTCAGTTCAGTCTGCAAGATGTATTTACATTTTAATTGAATTCTTTGCCCTAAGCCCGTTCCTCAAACTTGACGCTCTTCTATTTAGCCCCACTAAAAGAAGAGCGCATAATGAATATCAACATCAGCTGAATTGTAAGATGGGTATTTGACATCACAGCTTCGCAGGGTTACTGTTGGGTCTTTATAATGTTAACATCAAATTACATCTAGCCAGAGGTCCAAATTAAACTCATTCCACAAAACAATTGGACAGCTATCTATTTTCTGCAGCTTAATCCAGGTCTTTGTCACAGCACCACTACTCTAACCAGAGTTCTTCATATCGGTCCTTCTCTTAAAAGTAAATCCAAACTCTGAGCTGGTTCCACAGAAGAGGGTCCTGAAAGCTGAAGGCTCTGCCTCCCATTCTACCCTAGGAACCACGAGTAAGCCCAGGCATCCTGATAATAACAAATTACAGTAGTCCAGCCTAGAAGTAATAAGTAACTAGTTTCATAACATCACTCTGAGACAGAATATTTCTAATTTTAGAGATATTGTGCAAATAGAAGAAAGCAGTTCTATTTATTTGTTTAATATGTGTGTTGAAGGACATAGCCTGGTCAAAAACAACTCCAAGCTTCTTCAGTGTTACTGCAGGCCAAGGTAATGCAATCTAGAGTAAGTGTCAGGTTAGATACTATATTACAATAACCTCAGTTTTTTTCTGAATTAAAGAGCAGAAAATTAGATGTCATCCAGGTCTTTATGTCTTTAAGACAATCCTACAGTTTAACTAATTGGTGTGTTCTATAATGTTGTGTGTCATCTGCATAGCAGTGAAAATGTATGCTATACCTTCTAGTGACACTGCCTAAAGGAAGCATGTATAATGCAAAAAAAGAATTGGTCCTAGCACGGAACCCTGTGGAACTCTATCGCTGTAACAAAATATTATGGTCAACAGTATCAAATGCTGCACTCAGGTTCTAACAGGGCAAGCACAGAGATGAGTCCACTGTCAGAGACCATAAGAAGATCATTTGTAACCTTTTCTGTGCTATTATGAACTCTGAAGCCTGACTCTTCAAATTAGCCATTCCTCTGAGGATGATAAGTTAGCAGTTTTACTACTCTTTCAAATCTTTTTGAGATAAAAGGTAACAACAACCACAACAACAACCACAAATTCTCACAGCAATGAAAAACACCCTGATTAATAGGATGTCAAGAAATTAAATTGTAAGTTGTCATTTTTTTAATTTATCAAATCTAAAGCTCACTAATTAAATTTGTCAGTTTGAACAGAGCCAAGTATGCTGCTCATCACTGTTTAGCTGAGCTAAGCCAATGTAGTTTTCCTAAAGATTGAAGTTTCTGCAGATTCCGAGATTAGTACAGAAACATCATATAATATACATCTGTGCAAGTGTGACAGATTACTTAGTATTATTTAGTTAATCAGTGTGCAGATAAAACAGGGTTTTTCAGTGTGATCATTTACAGAAAACATCAACATCTGAAAAAAAACTGTTTGTATAAACTGACCTGACACTGAGATACAGTCATCCAGTGTTGGAGCCCACGACACTTTGACCTGGCTGCAGCGGCCTGGTGTTTGGACGTCTAGCTGAGCCTGACACCCCGCCCCTCCCAGATTTCTCAAGTCTGAAACCACCGCCTGTCCAGACGAGGAGACTCTGATGACCCTGCGGCTGGACGGACGTGGACCTGCAGCAGCATCCGTCCACCAGATGACAGACTCCGCTGAAGATGGTGAATGTGAAAGCTGAGGAGGAGCAGACGTCCGAGTATCGGCAACGTAAACACTCCCGTTACAGCAGCCGGCGAGGAAAACAGTGTCACTCACGAACTGTAAGGAACTCAGAGGATCTGCTGAGTCGGTCTCTGTTGGGACAAAACAACGCAAAATGTCTCAAAACACACATTACAGAGAGATTACATACTGCAGTCTGCTGCAGAGATGGTTTTATGACTAGAACATCAGTGTTTTGAAACTGAACAGCTGAGGAAACCCCCAGCTGAAAGAGCATTTAATGGCCCTCCTGCTGCAACAATTACAGGCAAAGTGCTCAGAAACAAAAACATCAGGCTGGTCGTTTGTTGGCCTTGTTTTGGTGCACTGGCTGTGCATAATGATCAGAAACAAGCAGAGAAAGGACTGTGGTGAGGAAACTACTAACATTTGATAATATGCAGCGAAGCAGTGGTTACTACTTTGGAGCATCTATAGATCAAATGGTTCATGGGGAAAGAAAAAAAAAGAAAAAGAAATCGGCCCTGTTCAGTAGCGTATAAACTTCAGTCATTTCAGTCTTTATGTTCTGATCATACACAACATGTCTTAAAGATGCCAGAATCATTGTATTTTAGCATAGAGAAAAATATTCCTTTACTTAAGATGTGACGGAGAATAACTATTTATGTACTTGGCACAAGTTTAAGGAAACAAATTTAAACGATAAAAAGAATTTCTGTGAACTGTTCCACGCCTTGTAGCCTCACAGTGACGAGGTCCTGGGTTTGAATCCACTGGCCTTTGCATGTTCTCTCTGCCTCTCCACATACTGCAGCTTCATCCCACAGTCCAAGACATACATGTTAGGGTGACTGGTGATTCTAAATTGGCCATAGATGAGTATGAAAGGTCCTCTTTCTGTGATAGACTGGCAACCTGCCCAGCATGCACTCTGCCTATCTCCCTCCGAAAGCTGGGATGGACTTCTGATGCTCTACTGCAGGAGCAGACAGGTGGATGGATGGACGCTCTCTTTGATGCCAACTATTTTTTTAATTTTTGGGAACCATGGAACAATGATATTTATTGTTTGCTCACTTTACTTGTATTACTTCCAGGCCTTAAAGCCACAGTCTCACCTCCACTCAGAGCTTCAGCAAACTATTTTTGTGTGGAAAAATAAATAAAATAAAGCAGGGAAAAGAAATGGAAAGTTACAGATCTTCCTAGGGGTTACAGTGGGTGGCCTACAACATAATACTGCATCATAACACAGCTCAGCCTTTCTTTCTAGATCAAACTTACTTAAGCGAGCCACAAAAGAATAGCAGGAAAACATCTCCTGGCTGCACAGAAAGCTTTTGTCCTCGCTCTCCTCAGGAACACATGCAGTTTTTTTTTTCATCTTCATGTGACACTAAATCTTAGATGTCCTTCACAAACAGTGATTGTATCCCAGTCCAACTGTAAGCTCAATAATTACACTGTTTTAAGAAAAACTATACGTAAAGAACAGTTTATCTTTTCATTATAAAAACTTTACTACAAATATGATTTACATTACTATAGTATTAGTAGGAGAGACAACCAGTTTACCAAAAGTAAGAATACAGTTAGATTTTGAGCATAAAACAAACCACACAAAGTCACTTTAATTCTTTCACGCTGCCATTCACGATTAGTCTCGATGCTGATGGAAATCTGAATCTAGATTATATTTTCTTGAGAAAGAGTAAGACTATGTCTCCCAATTTTTTTTGTTCCAATTTTTTTTAAGCATTTATGACATTTCTCAAATTTCGACATCTCACAACAGTGAGATGAACAGTCTCACAAAACTGCATAAAGCACCACTTCGACTTAAGTTTTCACCTCTACTTAAATAAGACACAAACTAAACCAATCTTATAGTCTCCATGCTCACAGGCGAGCGTGAACATAAACTGATAACTGTAAATGTGGGGTTACCCAGTTTATAGAGAGTCTCTCCTGATGCGAGTTCAGTCAGCTGGACGTCGCTGATCTGAGCTCCGTGAAGAACTTGTGGTGCTGACGAGGGTCGAGCTGCGATCCTGCTGCCTCTCTCTGAAGCACTCCTTTTCCCTTTAATACTTCCTGTTCTCCTGATCACATCTGTCATGGATGACAAGGAAAAGAAAACCAGTCACACTGTCAGAAGTGCCTCACCACATTTTATAATTATTCCCTTTACCTTGTTTGCTGTAAACCAGGAAAGGGGACCTATTATTCCCTTCTGTATTTTCTTCCTATATATGCTATTACAATAGCAAACTCTCATATTAAACACGGTTAAAGGTCAGAAATTGAAAGCGTACGTGAAGTGAAACCCCACAAGACCAGGCTTCACTGCTCTAATCTTGTCAAAAATCTTTTTTAACTTGCATTAATTGGTGGAGATGTCTATGTCTAAACGTCACTTTCATTTAAATTAAGACAGTCAGACACGTGAAGTATCAGGTGTCAGGAATCAATTTGAACCCTGTAATAGTGGTTGGGCAGTCAACGTCTGACCACCTTTCTGATTTCTCTCAATTATTATTGGTGAACAATTCAACACAGGAAATGTGCACGATATGATACAAATACTCTTCTCTCAGGTTAGGTTCCCTCCTATATTTGTCTTCTTTGGGCTACAACAGAAACAATTTTAACTTCAATCTATTTCAGCAAAATCTCCCCCCCCAAAAAAAGAATTGTATAAATAAATATTGAATTCAACAGGAAAAGTTTCTTTTATGATCTAGTCTGTTATGATTCAGTGATTTTTACTAGTTAAGTCATTAACCTTGAATAAAAAAGGTTCATCCATTCAGTGAGTCGTCTCAAAACAGCTTCTGTAGATAAGAGTTACATTTAAAAAGGCCTTGAATATTTTTTATTGCACTCTGTGAAACACTATCAGAAGTGAGAACCTTTTTGCATTTAGATGAATACATTCAGCTCATAATGCCCAGAAAATCTGGTGCTTTTTGTACTGAGATCATGTCACTTTAAATTCATATCACTGAAAATCACCGTTAATCACAGCGATGATTTGCAAGTTTTTGACTGATAGTAAATTCTGCTCTGTAGGTTTTAAGTGAGATTTTATTCATAATTAGTTCTTGGTCTTAATTAATTTTACTGGACTGCTGTTAAGTTTAATTTTATCAGATTCCTATTCTTTTTCTTGGTTTTAATTTCATGTTTTTTATGCTTTGTTCTGGTTTATTGTTGGTTATCTGACCTGTCTTACTAAATTTCTCTTTGTCATTATTTTTCTCTTATATAAATTTTTTTAGGCAAGTGCCTAACTTTTGTACTTTGAAATTTTAGGGAAATCACACTCACCGCTCTCTTCTCCTCCAAGGTCCCACACCTGCAGGTCGGAGCTCAGCCCGTCGTTGGTCACAGCACACCTGCCGAAATAACAGAACGTTAATTAAAAGGCTGCGAAGCTACTGATTATATCGTCCCCTCACATTTACCATCAGATCTAAAGATCTACACAAGCACTGACTCACACCACCTATAACAACTACAAAACACAGACCCTCCACACTGTGCATCGCACCGTGAGGCACGATATATCTTCTGGTGCAATGATTTGTTAAAAGTTAATTATTGTCATTATCAGCTCATCTAGTAAAGGTTTTTGTAAGTAATTTCTTAGTCTAAACAAGTTTAATACAATTATGATGATTTTTAGACATCTGAAGAATTGTACGTTTAGCATTTAGGCTTAAAACCTTTAAACAGTTCATCAATACTCTGAATTGCTCTTGACTGACCTTCTGTACTTTTATAAATCTGTTAATGTGTTAAATACGTGATAGGTAAGAATAATAAACTGAACTGTAGAAAATATAAAGAGTACCCGAATAAAATAATTTCTGTGCTCCAGCCTTGCTGGGTGCTTTTCAGTGTGCCTTTTTTGAAGAAGACCTCTTTTCATTCATTATTCCCCAAAAAGAAGCTTTGAAACCAAAGTTTGGTGCAGGAAAAGGCATCGTGTGGATTAGAAAACCTTGGAAAGAGTGAAGCAAGTTTCTCTCCCTGAAGTGGGTCACAACCAGTGTTTGATGAGACAAAGTAACAGTACTCCAATTACTGCCTGGTTTGCAGTTTAAATAAGCAGGTAAGTACTTTTCAAAGAATTAATCAACAACTGTTCAAATGTTACATTTTTCTGCTCCTGAATAAAAGCCTGAAGGATCTGCAAAGTTTCTGTCTCTCCCCGATTTCTTGGGATACAGCCGTGAGCTTGGGAAATGTTGTATTTATTATTGTTAAGGAGTTAATCTTCTCAGCAGATAAGGCTGTAATCTTACAGATTACTTTATAATGGAAGTAAATTGTAGACTGGAGGGTTAAGGAAACAACTCAGTTGACTACAAATTATATAGTTGTTAAAAGTGTATAATCCTACCTATGGTAGCCGCTGTAGAACAGACATGTTTTAGTCAGCAGAGAGATCAAAAACGTTGGATACAGACTGTACGCCATGTTTGGACTGGCTCTGCAGAAGAGTTTTTGCCTCTGTTAGGAAGGCTGTCAGTCCTCTGTTTACCTCAGCTGTCAATGCTGGCTGATAAACATTCACCAGTTACAAGTTTTACAGTCTCCTCCAGAGGAAATGGATGTGGATGCTTCTTAGTCCAGTACAGGCCAATAAGTCAGAAGCTCACTTCTGATTGATGACAGCTAAACTGAGGAGAGAAGTTGAGGATATACTTAACTGTTGGTTGCACTGCTGTTTTTCCCGCTGTTAGCTGGTGTTAGATGCACTTCAAAGAGATTTTCACTAATATTAACTTATAACCAGCTGTTGTTGTTGTGTTAAAGCCCAGACTTCAGTTCAGGAGATGAGGCTTGAGGTGAGGAGGAAGAGGATTATTTTTAATTAAGGCGTGTGTCTCTTTCCTTCCCGTTTTCATTTCTTTTGTCAAGTTGACCTTTTCTCAAGTGATCAAACATATCTTGAGTATGAAGGTGCAGGTACGAATTTTAGTGTCGCTCCACTGCACCGTAGGAATGCCTATGACTTCTCTTCTCCTCTGCCTTTGTCACATGCATAAAGCAGTTTTAGTCAGAAGTGAAGTCCTTAGTGGCTGCTACTACAAATACAGGGGAGGAACATGGCGGTCTCCACAAGCTGCAAAACACTCTGTTGGAAGTTGTTTCTATTAAATAACCTCAAAAAAGACTGGCCGTACCTTTAATGTAACATGTTACTTATAAGGGTAATTTATCCAGCACTGGTCTGAACTCACCTTGTTCCAGGGATGTGTGTGAGGCAGCTGAAGGATATAAAAAAAATACAACAACAGCAATAGAATAATATTAAACACAAAGTGAACCCGTCTTCCTTCATTAAATAGGTTCTTTTAGATGTTAAGGAGGAATAGACTTAACCAGGCTGGCGGAGAATGAAGACAACCGGACACCTGCTGCAGATGGGGAATCAGTGAACTTTTATTGAGACAGAGACAACCTCTCAAAACAGCTCACATCAAAAGATTCCAAATATTTGCTGTGAGGATGGGTATATATTCTCTAAAACTTACAGGAGGGGGTTGTGAGGAAAGTGCTGCATTAGCAGAAAAACAACTCCATAAAAGGAAATCGGCCTTGGGTGTTCTAGTCTCTTCGCTTGCAGATATCTTTCGCCTGCAGGATGAGGCGATCGCTTCTTATCGCTCTCAAGGCCAAAGTCGTGAGCACACATTTTTATTACACAGTTGCACAGTAACTTTAAAGCTGAACAATATTTAAAGCTGAATAATGTTTGATCAGATTATATTTTCTTCAAATCCCCCTTTTGACCCATCTTAAATGGGTCAACACACAAAAATAAGTAACATTCAAAGGAACACAGAGACGTGTCGAAGCCTGGCTCGAAAAACTCCTCGGGTCTTATCATTTGTCTTTATCTGTCATTGCAGATGAGGAGAAAAGAGTCCAGGCACCACCCTGCCCAGGGGTCGGCTGCAAGCAGTCTTGGTTCCCGATGAAAGCAGTAACAGCTGTCCTGCACACAAGGGTACAACGAGTTAGTGCAACCAGGGTAGTGACACAAAATTAACAGTTCCTGTAACTCAGCAACCAAAAAGCATAAGTAATGATAAAAATGTGGAGAGTACAGAGTATACTATAATAATGAGAGATATAAACGTGAAAATGTGAAAAAATAAATCAACCGTAAAATAAACTCAGAACGGTAACTGCTAAGGACATTCAAAAGTGAATATGGTAAAACTGGAGAGGAAGTAGTGGGCAAGACCCTACGGGCTACATTTGTCAGATTGGGACTGTCAGAAGGGGGCCAAGCTTTTGAACTTTAAGGTGTCAGAAGTGTCGGGGGCCCTTCACAGATCAGGATTATGCCAATGGGAATGAGACCCAGGGCCAGGAAGCAAACAAAGACGCAACATCTTTGCCTGCCTGTCATTTCAGGGGGAAAGGGCCAAGACATGTTTACTTAGCTTGGATGTCGTCTAATAGAGGATGATGGGGCACAGAAAGGTGGTCCAGTTCCCCCCACCTCGCCAAGGGCGTGTTCTAGGAGTTAAAGAGCAACAACCTGCAATCTGTACCAAAAAATCTTCATAGTCCCACCGGAAAATCATAAGAGTAATAAACGATTCAGCTCAACAGACAAGTATCATGTTCAGGTTTCTCCAATCATTAAATCACTATTATTGCCACAATTTGCTTTATTCACCCTTTGGGCAATGAGAGAGAGAGACCCTAATGGCCAGTTAGTGGGCTCTAGGTCAAACTGTCCCCAAATTTGTTATCTGTTATTATTACTTGTTGTCATGTCACTTGTCTGTTTTCTACTGCACCCCTCTCACCAAAGCAAAGCAAACATTAGCAGCACATTGACCGTAGTCAGACATCCTCATTCCATAGGTGCTATAAAACATTTCCTGTAAAAGAATCACAGTTTTCAAGACAGGGTGTGTCTCCCCCAACACTCTCACCAGAATACAGTGTAATAGCATCCCCAACTCCTAACCCATAAACACCGTTTCTTCACACATCCGCCCAGAAATCCTGTAATAGAAAAACATTAAAACTGTAACCCTGTAGGGAAGAAAATGTAAATGGTAAGATTCACAAACAAAAATCAGTAAACATAAAACAAAATAAAATGAAAAATAACAAAAACAAAATGCAGACGCCCGGGTCTTAGGACTTGTCACTGAATATTCTTCCCATCAATAAAAGTACCAACCTAAACCTACACAGAGTCAAATCAACACCACCTCAACCTTTTCATATTCATAAACCTATATGTTTTGCGTTCGTGAAACAAAATTGAACCATTAAGTAAGTTGAGCTCTTGAAATGTTTTAATTCTCTTAATTCTGCCAGTTTATTTCAACACTTATTCAATGACTTTTATTCAACTGCTACTTGGCCACTCGACTTTTACCTGTTCAAATTGCCTAGGGTTCAACAAAGTCTAGATCCCCGTTATCATGAAACTTGAACGGTGTACGATGATTTACTTACAGTAATTTAGAATCATCACTCAACCTAGCTCTACTACTGGCACTGCGTGACTTTTCTCACACTGGAAACCAGAATTTAGCACAGAACTTTAATGCCTCAGGCAATCGCGTTCAAGGGCTGCCCCCCTTCTCTTCTTCTTTGTCCGTGTGTTCCTCCTTTATTAAATCTCCATCACAATGACGTGGCGCTCTGAAATAAAACTCACACTGTTAATTCCTCGTTTTCACTCTGCACCACTGCTCAGAGTGTTTTCTTTTCTTTTTAGTGTAGAGTAAACAATTAAGTCGAGGCCTTAAGCCCCAGATATCTCGCACGGGCATCATTTTCATAACCAAACCGCTCCGGACTCTGCTCCCCAGACCACACAAATGCCCTCTGGGCTTATTATTATAGCAAATTCTGTATTTGACTTTGTTGTGTGCAGCATTGAGCCTTTGTCAGTAAAGCATTCTTCATTGCAGCAGCTGGAGCATTGTGTGTCACTTCTTAGTAAATTAAATCAACATTTTGATTTTAGTGCATGGGTATGTATCAGTTTTTACTCCCTCAACAAGAGCATAAGTGTTCATGTGTGTGTTTCCCTTCATTCTAAGTAGGCGCATGCAGAAGTGTGTGTTCGTGTGTTGGTATATGTTTGTGTTCATCACCTTCCTGTTCTGTAGTTTAGGTAAACCAGCGGCCTGACGCATGGCCTAGGGTCCTCCCCTCCTCTTTGGGTCTGTTTCTGTTGTCCTTACTTTGCTCCACGGCCTTCTGCAGCTCTGCTGTTCGGCTCTTCTCAGAGGTCAGCATCCTTCTGCTCACCGTCCCTTTTCCTCCGGGCTTAATGCGCGTCTCGTCACAGCTCTGTCAGCTGACGCAGCCTGGGAATTTCCCCCGTGTAGTGAAACGGGCTTTAGGTTTAGTGCTCTCCGTCTCTGCTGCATGAGATCACTCTTTTGCAGCACTGTTGACATCCTCAAGTTGTTGTTGTGAGTCCAGCTGCTGTGGCCTTCAGGGGTCAAAGGGTCAAAGATGGTCGCGGAGAGGGCAACGATGGTAGAGGGGAGGGTAGGAGTCCAGGTCAGCTTCGGCTCTCAGAAAAAACAAAAACAAAACAAAACAGGCGAACAGGAAAATGATGTTGTGTTGGCTGTGCTGTGTTGGCTGTGTTATCCCGAGAGGGAGAAACAACGAGATCTCGTCTCCCCCCTTTTTTGTTTTTGTTTTTTTTTTTTTTTTTTTTTCACCATATAATCAACTCATAACCCCTCAAGTTGACAGGACAACACAGGTACGTGCTAAAATTCTTAAGATCCTGTTTAGAAACCTAAAAAGGAATTTCCTATCATTCAGTAGTCATTTGTCTTAAACAATCAACAAAAACATGTCCCAAGTCGACCCTTTTAACCACTAAATTTGTCGTGTCCTCACTTAATCCTCAGACCAGTGTCTTTGTCTTTTGACGTTACGTTGTTGTCCTGCAACCCAAAGCGTTTAATTGTCAGTAATGTATAAACTATATCATTTAAAAACAGGTGTATGTTAAGTGTCGCTACTTTAACCTTGCATGTACGTGCACATGTATGTAAGCTGTTTCTTCATTGCATGTATGGGTGCGTCTGTATATGGGTTACTTTAACTGTTTCTCAAACGAGGCATTTCTCTAACACGCACATGTGTCTGTTCCTCACCCTTCTCATATCTTTCTCTGGTTGTGTGTGGTTTTATTTGTTTCAGTGATTTACCAGGAACATCTTTTCCTTTTCTCCATGTCTTCCGCCAGAGGTTAACACCGGTGAGATCCAGGGACACAGCACCCAGAGCAGTTCAGCAAGAAAAACCCGCCTCAAACTACATTCTCTCTTTTTTGTTTTACCGGGAGGGGTGAGGACAACTCTGGTGTCCAGCCGTGAATTTTAGCCAAAGCTTGGCCTGTCTTCTGCTGCCGTACTCAGGCTTCCAGGTTAAGAAAAAACACCTGTATGAAGACACTAAACATACATTTAGTATTTGTATAAACATAACTGCCTAAATCATTGAACTCTTGAGGAGGGTGTATTTCAGAATCAGAATCAAAATCAAAAACTTTATTGTCATTGTCATGAGACCGACGACATTAAGAATGGTCCCCGATCATTGCATCATCCCTAGTAATATCAAATATAAAAAACAATAAAATTCAATCAATAAAATAGATAGAATACTTAAAATACTAAGTATTCCCACCGTCGTGCTTCAGACCGTGCATAGATTAACACAAGAGTGGCATGGTGGACATTTTTGTAGTATTCAGATGTGTTATTGCAGTTGGATAACAGCTGTGTTTGAGTCTATTAGTCCTTGCTCTGATTGCCCTGTACCGTCTGCCTTAGGGCAACAGTTCGAACAGGGAGTGGCCAGGATGTGAGGTGTCTTTTATGATGTTTTGGGCCTTTTTAAAACAGCGGGCGTTGTTTGACTCTTTACTAACTTTAAAACCCCACCATAACAATTTCTCACTGACAAACTTCTATGCATCCATTTAAACATGCGAAGCCAGCACAAGATCACACACATACCCCTACAGCAAAGCTTTAACATAACCACAATGCAACTCCTCCCTTAAACGGGAGAAATCACCCTGAATCAACCAACTCTATATAAAACGTCAAACAAAGATAAACCACAAACATTTCTACACTTCTGTGTCTTCCACGCAGCACAATAGGCAGAAAAACACCGATTACTCACAGTCTACAACAAAAGAAAAACCTGCTCTTTTCACAACTCTCATAGCTAAAGTCAAAACTCTTACCCAGTGCCTCTGAAATAATAAAAAATCACCAAATACTCGATTACTCTTTTCACTCGCTCCCTCTCACCCCCTTCTTCCTCATACAGCATACACGCTCGCTCCCGCGGACCCGCTCGGCCCCGCGGGCTCACTCGGCCCCCACCTTTTTTCTCTCACAGAGACAGAGAGAGACCCTTTTCCTTTTTTTTTTTTTTACTTCGGTCTATCTGCACAGAGTTTACCTCATCTCTTTCCTTCTATGGGCATGCACACTTCCTGTCTCACACACACAGCCCCTCTCTCAGAGAGAGCAGAAAAGAGTTTTTCCTTTTTTCAACACTCAGGAGTGATTCAACAGACAGTTTATACCACTATTTTACACTTTATTTACACACACCGGTAATTTATGTTCTATTTACACACGGGCCCGCATGGACATATGCCAGAAGAGGTTACCCCTAACTTTTTGACTAATTTAAAAGCACCTATAGCCCAGGCCTAGCCTTGCTGATCAATACACACCTCGGGAACGCCCTCCCGATAGCGCTCGAATTCCTAAGAAAACACCATATGCCAGAACAACTTTATCTCACTTCTCTATTTCTCTGCTGGTGTTGCTAAATTTTTGACTAATTTAAAAGCATCTTTCAGCTGTTTTCCTCAATGACTCTTTCTGCTTTTTTGCTTCTTTAGGCTGGTGTGTGGAGTTGATGACTGTCTCAACACATGTTAATTGTTCTCCCAATGTGCTAAGAATAACACCGGGACCCCAACCATCATCATTAGTTTCTCGATCTAATTCTCCATCCATTTTACTGTCAATGGAGGAGTGTTCTTTTATTGATTTTAAAGGAGAATTTGGGCCAGCTGGGTTTCTGCCTCTGTTAGGCACTAATCAGCTGGGGCGCTGCTTTAAAGGTGAGTCAGCACTGAAATATCCCTTCAGGTGTTACCAAGCTTCTACCAAACCGGAGTCTGGCGGGTAACCTTGCCTAGAGCTTCCTGATAGGGGTGCTAGTTGGTTGTCACCTTGTTCACACGTCTCATTCACACTTCATACATTACCTGCAGTCACTCATTACCCTCCTTATGTATGTAATAAATGTGTAAAAAAATTCTATGTGTGGTGTATTATTTTAACCAAAAGAGGAACCTAGTTCCTTTAATTGTGTAATCTGTGAACAACGGAGAACCAAACTGTCCTGCCCAGTGTTCCACAGCAAGCATTCAGCGTGTATTTATGTGTGTCCAATATCAAACAGAACATCAAAACATTTAAAACACTAAAATCATCGGGGTTTTAAGAAGAGATCCGTTTTCTCCTATTGATCAAAGGGACCCGTCCTTTGGACTCCAACCAGTACTTCTCTTTTTAAGTTTTAGAGGATCTTTTCTAATAAAGTCCTCTGGGCCTTCCTAACCCTTCTGTAGTTTAGAGAATATTACTAAAAAATATTCTCAAGGCCTTTAACCTTTTAATTTGTTTAGAAAGGCGTTACTAATAAACCCTTTCAAGGTCCCAGACCTGCACTGAGGTATTTATCCGACACCGGAGAGCAAACCCGTCGGCTGCAACCGTGGTCAGACCTCAGTTCACTCTTATCTTTATTCACTTATTCACTTATTTCTTATTCACTTATCTCTTATTCACTTGTCTGATTCTCAACAAGCCTTAAGTAAGCCAGACAATTTTGGTTATGAATTACTAGGAGTTTGGACACTAAGTATTTTTATAATGTTCAATATAGCAGAAATAAAAGGTCTGCTTACCTTGTTTTTTGTGTGTACACAGCTTTTGTCCAAACTCCGTTCACTCAGACCACGGCCGATGTCCTCCCTCCCGTTCCAGTTTGACCTGGAGCGGATCCTGTTCGTGACGCCAATTGAAGGATATAAAAAAAATACAACAACAGCAATAGAATAATATTAAACACAAAGTGAACCCGTCTTCCTTCATTAAATAGGTTCTTTTAGATGTTAAGGAGGAATAGACTTAACCAGGCTGGCGGAGAATGAAGACAACCGGACACCTGCTGCAGATGGGGAATCAGTGAACTTTTATTGAGACAGAGACAACCTCTCAAAACAGCTCACATCAAAAGATTCCAAATATTTGCTGTGAGGATGGGTATATATTCTCTAAAACTTACAGGAGGGGGTTGTGAGGAAAGTGCTGCATTAGCAGAAAAACAACTCCATAAAAGGAAATCGGCCTTGGTGTTCTAGTCTCTTCGCTTGCAGATATCTTTCGCCTGCAGGATGAGGCGATCGCTTCTTATCGCTCTCAAGGCCAAAGTCGTGAGCACACATTTTTATTACACAGTTGCACAGTAACTTTAAAGCTGAACAATATTTAAAGCTGAATAATGTTTGATCAGATTATATTTTCTTCGCAGCGAACCGGACCATCTGTGAAACCACCATGGGAAACTTTAAAATCCCGTTCTGCGCAGAGACTCTGAACACAAAAGCAAACAGGAAAAGTTCAGAGTAACATCTGAAACGCCTCCTAGAGAAAAATAAACTCAAGGTTTGGACTAATGTTCTGATTTTTACCTTATTTTCATCAGCAAGAAGTTTCAGCGGCAAGCGAAGTTCTAAAATTTCATTTTTGGACTGACTATAGCCTGCGACACAGACGCCTACAAACACCAAAAAAAATGATTAATACAAATGATTTGGCTAATGAAGAAAGAGCTGAAAAGCTGTCTTCTATAACAGCAAAATCAGAAAAAAAAAAAAAAAAAGGATCCATAACTCAAAATTTCGAGTTACTTTCTTGAAATTTCGAGTTATTTTCTTGAAATTTCGAGTTATTTTCTCGAAATTTCGACATATTAACTCAAAATTTTGAGAAAAGCAACTCGAAATTTCGAGTTAGCGCTGCCAATCAGTAATCTACGTGAATGACGTCATTTCCATGTTACCCGGAAGCTGAAGCCCTCAGCTACAAATGCTACAGCTAAGCTACCGGTATTACATCCAGTCGTGAATGCACAGATTGCTGAGTGTTTTCAGCCTGGCTTCACAAATGATGAAATCCCTGTGTTATTAGCTGAATCACATGGTGTTACTATCAGCAAACATACTTTAATTTGTTGGGATCCGTTTTTGCGTGCGCGGTCCTGCGCCATATGCTTCCGGGTAACAAGAAAGCGACCTCATTCACGTATATTTTTGATTGGCAGAGCTAACTCGAAATTTTGAGAAAAGTAACTCGAAATTTCGAGTTATATTTCTCGAAATTTCGAGATAATATGGATACTAGCTTTTTTTTTTTTTTTTTTTTTAAGTGGCGGAACGGGCTTCCATATCTTCAAGCCACATCATCATATTTTAAATTATTAGATCAACTTACTATTCCCTGACGTCCACTCGAGGACCTGGGTGGGATGTTCAAGCTGATACACATGAAGGTCTTTGTACCTGAAGGAAAAAGGTTTGTGAATTTCTGTATAGAGTTTAACATAAAATACAGTGAAACTCAATTTTGACGTGACGTGGTTTTGAGCGCTACAGTCAAAAGTGAAGGTGAGCCCGCCTTATGTTTGTTATAGTGACTCTGTAAAATTTAATTTTTTTAAGGAATTCAGAAAAATATAAATTCACTCTGCCTTAGTTTTGCAAACCTTTCAAAAACAGCCCTACAGCTGCATTCCTGATGTTTATTCCAAGTTGTTTGGTGTCTCCTTGCAAATGTCCATTTTGTGCGCCTTCTCCTTTGTATGTAGTGCTGTTTGGTATTTATTCCTGTTGTCTAACTGGGTCCCTGTGGAGCACCCAGCATGTCGTTGAACATGTACAATGACAATACAGGGGATACAGAATCGTATTGTTTAAAATATAGGCCTTTTAACCGCGAAACCAGACTTCATTCACAATTTATGATATGTAATATTTTCTGTCTACAGAATCAACGCGAACATTTTTCTTTTTACCTACAACTTGATTCCTACAGTGGAGCCATCATATCATATAATTCGTCTAGATTATAAAACTCGAATTCACTAAATTTATTTTGAAAATGAATCACACATATAACACCTCTTAAACCACGAGTAATAAGTGTAGGAGATGAACTAATACAATGTGACAATTTGGAGCTTATTTAAATTTTAGGAGAGATATCCTTAAGCCGAATTTAAATAAATTAAATATAAACATAAATATATTTAAATAATGTTTTGTTGTGGTGTTTATTAACAATCGAAAGCTGCTGGAGGGTAAAATGCCTAAAATTAAGAGTTTGCTTTGCAAAGCTGGTAATGTTGGTTAGCAAGTAGTAATAAAAATATAAATTTGACGTTTCAAACAAAGTAAAAAGCTTACTCACGTTTTCAGTGACTCGATAAACCAGTCATCTAAAATATCCTCAAACTCTGCATCTTCCATCTCTCCCAACAGCTCCTGCAGGCATGGGTGCTGCTGCTCGTCCACCACTTCCTGTTTAGTTCCCTCTGCTTTTTATTCTACTGCTTCTTTTCTTCATGAAAACTACACCGCCACCTGCTGGTCTGGAGGAAGCGAGCCTCAATCAAAAGTAAAGTTTAGATAGAAACAAAACAGCAGGGTCTGTTCTAGCTTAATCCGTTAAACAAACAGATGCAAGAAGCAGATAATCAAGTACAGAGGCCTGTGCAGCTGACTAGTAGCCTAAAGGTTGCTGGTTTGAGTCCCTGTTCAGATGCTGGCATGGGCTCCATATGAGCTGTTTTTGTACTCGATCCCCAGACAAAAATAAGCAATAAACAAATATCTAACTGAGCTGATATTCAAAGCACTAATTTGCTTGATTCCATATGCAGCTTTCTACAGCCTGAAGAACCTCTTGGTCCTCTTGATATCCCTGGCACAGCTAACACAGCACAGCTTCTTTAACTTTTAATTTGATATTTTAGGCCAACGCAGCCAGAGGCATCCTTAAATATCAAGACTCTCCTTATTGGTTTCAGGCTTTACAGCAGATGGCATCTACATGCATACAATTAAAAGATAAAACAGCACACAGGAATAAATTTGAATCACCTGATATTCGCTTGTTAAACTGATTCAATAGAAAACAGTAATTTTAGATATTTGAAGATGAACGTACAGTAAGTTTTGCATCCCAGCAAATCACTTGTATTTGTATAGTGCCAGTTCACAACAAGGTGGCTGATGTTGTGAGGTAAAGACCCTACAGTGTTAGTGAGAAAACCACAACAATCGATCTCCTGTGGGTAAGCACTTGGAGGAACCAAGTTCTGTGTGGGGCGGCAAAAGAAGAAAGAAGAAGGTGAGCATAGAGAGATGAGGTTAAATCAGGGGACGTGTCCGTGAGGAGCTTAAAGCTGCAGAATACAGTGCTGTGAGGATGAGCTGATGCGGCTTGCAGTAAAAAGTTCTTTGTTTAAGTAATAAAGGGGTGAATATATATCAGCCCATTTTCCATTTATTAACAAAACTCAACGTCTCCAGCATAACAAAAAGGATTTCGAGCCACTGGTCTAATGCGTGTATGGTAACAGTCATCTCAAGGAGGCCCAAAAAAGTGTTTGAAGACAAACGCAGTGGACGGTCGTGCTTCATATCGAGGCACTCTGACAGCACATCTATTGTTTGCTGCCTTCAGATGGCCACAGAGGCTTAATGAACTGAAGACCCAGCATTTTTTCCAAACAGTACAAAGCAGCTGTCATCAACAGACGCCCTGTTGTAGCTGCCTTTATTATAAAATACCGTGATAAAATATACAGATAAAAGAATTGGAAGTCATAAAAATGCCAACAGTGCGTAACAAGGAAGCACAGGAAATTACCAAGAGTCTCAGAAGAATATTTTCAAGACAACTTTTGGGATGTTTGCCCTCCTCCAGCCTTTAAGCTGTGCTTCCGGTTGTCTCTATCAGACTAACGAATGCAAAATAGTTGAGAGCGATTAACAGATTTTGAATTTTGTAAATAAAGCGTGGTGTACTGAGGGAATACTTCCCCCTTTATCAGAGCAACAGAGCAAAAGTTTATTTTGATAATGTGATTAAATGAAGCTGCCAGAAGGAAAACGAACCAAAAACAGATGTTATGTTTGGGATGCTGGGCGTTTCTAGTTAAATGATCAAATATTCAAGCCCTGAGTGCAGCTTATATTTGTCCTCAATTTTCTCCAGGACAGCAGCTGAAACCTCATCAATCCCACCATGCTCAAAGCTTCATCTCTCCGGCTGTTGTTTGCCGTTTCTCCTCCTCCTCCTCCTCAGCAGCAGTGCTGTCATTCTGTTCCTCCGACTGTCTCACAGCAGAGAATCTGAGTCACATTTCGACCTTCCATTTCTCCCGTCACTCCTTGAGAAACAAGGGAGTCCAAACCAGAGTCTGTACAGGACAGTAAAGACGTGCGTGCTTGCATACAGAGCTGCAGGAACTGTTTGCTCTAACAAAATAATCAGTGAGAGTTAGTTCAAATACTTCAGGCTATCATGTCTGAATCCTCATTTAGTAAGCCACTAAAATATTAGTCTGTCAGTGCTTTAGATATGATAAAATGTGTTTTTTATCAAACAAGATGTTGCTGACAGAAAGTGAGGAAAGACAGAGGTGGCAGTGCATTAAAGTTACAGAGGTGAAGATGAAGCTGGGAGAATGGAGAAAGGAAAAGGAAGAGAAACCCCCTGTTCAGCCTGAGCTGAATCAGCAGCTTTCTGTAGACATCGCATGCTTTCAAATCCAGATGCCACTCTTTGTCTTCCCTTTCTCCCCCTGCCCTTTTTGCCTTATTTGCCTCTTTTTCTTGTTTTTTCAGCTGTTTCTTTTCCTTCCTTTACTGCTTACTTTGACTTTTGTCAGTTGTTTCTCGACCTTCTTCCATTCTTTCTTTTTCTCAGCTGCTTTCCTTTAGGTTATTTCTTTTCCTGACTTTCTTTATCCTGGTCATGTTTCTTATAGTTTCTATGCGAGCATTTCTTTTCTTTTCTCTTTCTGTCACCCCCACTCAGGCTCTTCTGTGGTGTCCTGGATTTCGCTGGATCAAGGTTTTGTCTTTTTTGAACTTTTATAATAATCCCACGTGTCCATGTCCAGTATTTCACTGCCACTTTTTACCTCCTCCTGGCAATCGCTAAATGGGATTATCAGCCTCTGAACTGGCCCTCCTGCTGGTTGTCCAGCAACTTTTTTCTTTCCATCCACCTCCAGCAATGTGGTCAGCGTCACACTCCTCTTTGTACAATGATACCATCTCGCTGTTTTTCTGTTTTCAGTTCACATTCACGCAGGCTGCTGCACATTGTGAACTTTCTGGCCAACATCTCTTTGATGTGCTGCATGGCTTCCTTTCTTCCCTCTTTTAATTGGCAATTTTCAGCCTGAGTGGCTTTAAAGGTTTTTTGCACCTCCCTGTTGATATTTTGTGGAGCAGTACTCAGGAATCCTCCTTTGCATATCCAATTGTTTATTTAGAAGAAAGGCACCCAAGGCTACTGGAGATGGGGTTGTGTAAACCCTGACTCCAGGAATCATTAAAAGGGCATCTGATAAAATGTATTGATTGGACAGCGGGAAGCTGCGGGAAACAAATAGTCTTGGGTGTATATCTGACGTCACCTGCTGAGATTCTTTTCATTTTTTAAGCTTATAAATTTTACTCAGCAGCGGCGACTGAACACTGAGTTTCATGAGTCAGTAAAACAGTCACGCATCGCTAAACACATTTAACATATTACAAAACCAGCAGCCACATGCTTTCAACAAAGAGCAGCCTGTTTCACATTAGCTGTCACTGCTGAGTCTATCACACCACAGAGATGTGAATGGCCTCTGTCCCAAAGCTGTTGTTTCACACTCGCAGCAGGAGAGCCTGGGTTTTCCTCAGATACGATAATTGTTGGACAATATATCAGACGAGCCGGATAACTGCCCCCAGCTGAGCGTCAAAAGGATCCCAGCAGGTCCTAATGCTTTCTGCCAATAAGCAAAGACAATAAACAGTGTGCAGAATTTCTTCACAAACTGTGGTGTGAGGAAGACTGCTTTACCAACATTGGTTCACAAACAAAGAAGTTTGGCAATACTGAGTGACAGCGTGCAAGAAAGCAAAGAACAAGTGTTTTTCAGTTGTCTACTGATGTGATTGTTCCTCTGACAAAAGAATGATGCATTACACAAATAAATAAAACTATTTATTTACTTCTGTGATATTGATTTAAGTCCTTATTTGATAAAATATTTTGAATGAGAAAAGGGGCAATTTTAGTTTCCAGCCAACTCTGTCTCAGATGGTATTCTGTATTTGATGCCATCTTACATGCAGTGATTCCTTAGTTTAGGGGGGATTTGCTCCATTTCCCTTCCTGCTTGTGAAGAACTCTTCCAGCTTATTTAACTTTTTTAGTCTGGTGGAGGTGGGATCCATATAAGAACTGTGAAATACTCCAAAATAAAAGTGATCTCCTTTCTGTTACTTTCTACAGGCCTTTGTAAAACCATGAAGGACTCTGTTGCAGGTATCTCAATCCTGTCTTATTGCTCTTGTTTGCAAGTCAAGTCCATGATGGCTTAAGGTTGAGTCGAGCCCAAGTTAACAGCATTAAAAACCATGTTTACAGCCAGGTATCTATGGTTAGTTTCTCCCCTCACTGCAACTATATAGTGGGTGTTTTTCTGTTAAATCCATCCATATGGACACTATTAAGGCTGACGCGTAAGCGTGTGGCCTTTTGACTGACAGGTATACCAGCATAGAGAGCTGCGTGTTATATGTGTTATATATCACATTGGAACTCTTCAGCAGTTTTTTTTAAAAGGAATAATCTGACAAATGCTATTTTTGTTGCCGACTGGTTGGCCTACTTCATTTTTTTCTGTACTTTTATTTTTCTCTTTCTCCCAGAAGATAGTGTTTGTGTGGGGTTGTGAGTCAGCGGGTTTTACTGCTCCCGTGAGCTCTTCCTGCAGATTCCCACTAGATCTCTGGCTTTTGCACTCGCTCGGCTCATTACCCACCTGTCTATTTAAGGTCCGTCTCAGTCACCCACTCTTCACCAACTCGTACAACTTCAGTTTAGCGTCTTGTTCATGCTTTGCTGGGTGAACTTACTCTCTTCTGTTAGACTCTTCTTGGTGCGTCAACCATTTGTCAGCCAGCTCCCTGAAGAACGAATCCCCTCTGGATCTCCTCCTCTGAAAGAAATACCTACTTTGAGAAAATTTAGCACCAACCAAATTCCCTTGGTTCATTGCTTCAATTTCGATTTGTGTTGTGTTTCGATTTGGCCTTAGCTGATAACTTTGCACTCATTTCTGGTGGCAGCCAAAACAGCAATGCTGAGGCTTCAAAATTCAGAGCCCCAAACTAATGTGTCACAGTCAGTTAAGACACCTTGCAATTTCATGGCCTAGTACATGTCTTATGTTCTTGTCAGGCACAAATTCTATCCACAGCTCCTCAATGCCCAACTATGTGCAATAATGTAGGACCACAACATCTGT